ATGGTGCTGCCTTGAGCTCTGAGGGATCTCAAGGGAAGCCAGAAACCCATGATTTTTTTTATGGCAAATCTCCCACTTTTTAAACGCTCATAATTATTTTTAAATGTGATTATAATTGACAGAACAAACATAGCACAATGTGGCGCTGCCGGCTGCCAATCTGTGTTGACTGCCAGGGTTACTTAGTGAGAATAGCTTCTGTGGCACCAACTCAGCAGGACGGGAGATAGCAAGTGTGGACAGACTCCAGGCTACATACCACCCTCAAGCCACCCGTCCTGGCGACACTACCAGGACATTGGTATAGGTGTGCCATCCACACCAAAACCTGCTCTTGCAACTACAGTGGTTAATTCCTGAAGTCCTGACTTTGAGCAGAAAGCACCCCTAGAAGGAGGCAGGAGAGAGACAGGTTTCTCCAGGTCAGTAGGGTGCAATGCAGGACAAGCATGAGAAGAGAGTCGGGCTGGGTGTTCAGTGGGAAATAGGTCCAAGAGATTCTTGAACAGCAGCCAAAGATCTGACCTTGGTTCCGGAAGAAGTAAGAAGCTCCCCCCTCTCCCCTCGCTCCCCTTGTTCCCATTTCCTCTTCTTGGCGCCTATTTGGCCCCTCCACACTCTATAATCAGAATTCAACCTCTGTTTTCCTTCTTAGCGCAAAAATGCCAAAAGATAGACTTGGGTGGTTTTCTGGGATGGAGGATGATGGTTTAATTACCATTTGATCATTCTGTCCACTGTTCTCTCTCTTTAACAGTTTAAAATCTCTTTCTTCATTGATAATTTTGTGATTTCTGGTTCTGTGTTGTTAGTAAGTGCTGTCAAGTCTGTCCTAACTCACAGTGATCCTGCACAGGGTTCTGTAGATGCAGATAAAAAGTTAATACCCTGACTACGTGTGTGTATTGGTTTTCCTAAAGTGTTATACTGTTGAGTAATATTTGGAGTCCTGGTGTGGCGCTGTGAGTTAATATGCTAGACTGCAAAGTTGGTTTGAACCGCAAGGATGGTAGTTCAAACTCACCTCCTAAGAAACCCTATATAAGGTTGCTATGGATTGGAACAGGCTTGATGACACTTAGCAACAACAATAATATTTAGCAAGAAACTAAAAATTTCTGCTCCTGGTTTTTCTGAAGAAGCCTGAAATCTGAAACATTTTAATACAGAATCTTATGATTTTTAAAATGCTTCAAAGATATATTGTGTGAGTAAGCAAAATATGTGCATTTTCTGCTAAACAGTTGACCTAAATGCATTTTAACATCACATCCAGCTTTAAAAACTCAGGTACAGACTGAGACATTTTATGATTAATTGGTATTTTCATTTTATATGAAACGTTGCAAGGTACTGTCGAGTCAGCACCAACTCTTAGCAACCCTACACATAACAGAGCGAAACACTGCCCAGTGCTGTTCCAACCTCAAAATCATTGCTACGCTTGAGCCCATTGCTGCTGCCACTGGGCCAATCCATCTCATCAGGAGTCTTCCTCTTTTTCGTTGACCCTCCACTTGACCATACATGATGTCCTTCTCCATGGAATACTCCCTCCTGGTGATAATGTCTGAAGTATGAGAGACGATGTCTGGACAGCCTGGCTTCCAAGGAACATTCTGGCTGTACTTTTACATGAGAAAAACCAAGTCACATTTCTCCACAGAAAAATAGCTCTTAAGAAGCAGGTTCCCTTGTTATACAGCCAGAAAGAGTAACTGATATTACTATTTCTGCTTATCTCCTTTTTCTTCCCCAAAAGCATTGTCTCATTGTTGTTGTTATAATTGTTGTTGCTAGCTATCACTGAGGTACCCTTGGCACAAGACAATGAGAGACTACCTGCTCCTCCTCTATAGCCACGATCAGCTCCAGATTAGACCATTGGGACCCAAGGGCGTTTCCTGGGCTGATTTCCAGAAGTAGAATACCACATCTTTCTTCCTAGTGTGCCTAGGTCTGAAAGCTCCACGGAAATATTTCAGCATCAAAGTGACACACAAGCTCCCACTGACAGATGAGTGGCGGTTGCACATGAAATACACTGGCTGGGAATTGAACCCTGGTCTCCCGCATGGAAGATGAGAATTCTATCACTGAGCCACCACTGGCTCATAATCATCTCTATACAAGTTCTAAACACCTAAGTCATGCACAGCACACCATTTCCAATGTGCCATGCCTAGAACTTATGGGCTCATCTCCAGGGTACGGTTGGACCTCACTTCCATTGCTACATTCCCAGTGCCTGGCATACGGCTCTGCACACAGTAAAGACTCAGTGATGTGTGTAGACAGTTCAAGTTCCCAGGAATATACCACTCTAGGTCCTACTTCAATAAGAGTAATTGTGAGGTACAAAATTCCACAGTAGATTTATATTAAATACTGGCTATCACACACACCAAAAAAAAAAACCCCTTAGATCATTAGGTATAACCATCCAAGAATAATAAGTCAGATAAATATTATTTTTTCACGTTGTGCATTTAAGACCTCTTCCCAGCAGCCAACTCACATTTTTGGAGAGCATTTGGCTGCACTGTAACTTAAAACCCATCTTTACCTCTCAGAAGATACATTCTAAAGGAAAAGCAGAAGATCCCTGAACCTCCAAAAAGAGCTGACAGAGGGCTGAGTGCAAAAATAAAGATAAATTAAAAGCACACTGAAAGCAAATGAGGGAATGTACTGGATTCTCCAGATACCCTTGTTTTCTTTGGGTGTGTGGAACTCACACAAAATTACACACACCCGAGGCAACTTTAGGACAGGCAATTCTGACCATCCACTCACCTCCCAGGTGGGTCAGTTAAATGGTGGCTCAGAGGCATTTGCTTAATTCAAATGTGAAGTGACTGCTGTCTGCTGACTCCAAGCTGCAAAAGCTGACAGAGTCACAAAACAGGCTTAACTGGTGGACTAGGACAAATCATTCCTTTCTTGTATAAAAACACTGAAGTCACAAACCAGGAAATCTGTCATCTACATCCCTCAGAATGTACCCTCCTGAATCCAGTTCTACTCACATACATCGAATGTGCGGACTCCTGTCTCTGTGTGCAGTGGCCTGATTATTGAAAGTCCGCTGAGATTTGGCGGATGTGGGGCAGGCATGCAAATGTGCCTTGGTTCCTTGGAAAGCAGGGCGTTTTATTGTAACACGACGGGTAGCGCATGGTACCCTTCTGGTCTCTAGTGAATGGGCACTGTTTGAAAAAATGAAATAGGAAGGCAAAGTCCTGGTGTTGATGGTGGTAACACGGGCCTCCCCACGTCTCCAGAGGAACCATCTGCAGTGAGGGCCTTACCAGGGCTGCATTTTCTACATGGACAGAGAAGCAGCAGGAGGTTGACAGGCCTCTCCCCTAACCATGCTTGGGCATCAAGAGTCTTAATCATTTGGTAATTGCCTTTGGCACTGGTTGCAGAAGGAACACTGAATAAATAAACCACTGCAAACTTAACAAAAAGCATTCACTGTAAGATAGATAGCCTGGCTGAGGTATGCTACCCCAACAACCCCTTTCAGTGCCAGCACAATTCACAAAACATGCCATTTGAGAACTTGTGTGGACGTTGAGCTTAATCTGTCCCCTTTTCAGCAATTCCCTCAGCAGCAAAGCACTCATGCGCTTACTGACCCAAACAGACCACTTCACTATGGCTCAACTCAAAAGGTCTTTCCTTTTGCTCTACCGAAAGTTCTGTCTTCCCAACTCTCTCTGTGTAGCAGACAGTGATAAATGTCAGACTCAAACCCATGTAAAGTCTGTGAAGCCAGCCTCCCTTGAAGCTACAGGTAGTCAGGAGACCTGGTGTGAGGTTTGCTGGGGACGTCCCACAAAGGTTTGCTCTTCTAATAAACAGAGGTAACTACATCCTGGTTTGACACTGTAGGATAAGCACTGGACTGCTAATCACCAGGTCAGTGGCTCAAACCCACCAGCTGCTCCTCAGAAACGCTACACAGGGTTGCTATGAGTCAGAAGTGATTTGACAGCAGTTAACAACAACCACCATATGTGGCAGTTGAGCGCCCCTACCCAGCCTTGAATGTAGATGCTTACACTGAAGAAAATGTGCAGATTCGCTCCTAGGCAAGGGTCAGAAGAATAATCCTGTGGACAGTCAAAACAATCTTAGATCTTTGGCGTGTGTGGGTGTGCACATTAAGGGTGATTTTTTTTTGTTTGCTTGTTTTTAATTAAAATTATGTGTATCCTTAAAACATTAACCAAGAAAAAAAAATTGTTCGTTTGAATTCTTCATTCAGAGTAGGCAGTTTTCGATATTTTCCGTCTATGTGGTTCATTTATGAATGCCCATGTTCTAAATGATCTAGAAAAGAAAGTAGGGGAAGTTCCCTACCCTTACTTTTGTGTCTTCCACTATCCTAGGTGTTAGGCAAGCTGTGGTGTTCTGAATTAGCTCATGTCTCTTCCAGCCATAGTCTGTAACTCCCACCAAACAATGTGGACAGCATTTCATTCTGTTGTACATGGGTTTGTCATGCGTCCAGGCCAAGGTGCAAGCTCTACCCAAGCCCACTTAGTGTGCCCCTTTCCTCACCAAATAAGAGAGACTCTAAAGACCTGAGTTAGTGGGTTTGTTTTTCTTATAACCCAGAAGATATTCCAGGTAAAAGTCAGTGAAACTAGCTCTTTCACACATTGTTATTAAGTGCCTTTATGTTGGTTCCAACTCATAGTGACTCTGTATAGAGTTTCTGAGGAGCAGCTTATGGGTTTGAGCCACTGACCCTGTGGTTAGCAGTCCAGTGCTGATCCACACAATGCTACATCAGGAATCCCCTGTTACTCGTTAGTTACCAGTAACTGACAAAACCTATGGAAGATCTATTTTGTTCCAGGGCATCTTTATCATCTTATTCTTAAATCCTAATCTTTTAAAAAGTTCTCAGTATTCACGTCCCTGAAGGTGAACAAGATCTTCCTTCCAAGGGCTAGCAAAGGCATGCCTGCCCAGTCAGGACTTACCCCTTAAGATGTAGTTCTGATAATTCTGGTCGGCCTCAGCGCCCACTTTAATCAAACATGTCAGACCTTCAGCCATTACGAATTCATGAACCAAATCCTTGTCATCCTGGCAGGAAAGAAGAGAAAAAAAAAGGTTTCAAATACCTGTCCCTCTCTATCCAGGCTGGGTTGCTTAAGCTGTGTACATACAACCCTGAAAGCCAGAACCATCATGATTGTTTTGCTGTATTCGAACAAGGCAACCTAACGGACTCCAGAGAAATCTTAACAACTAGTCTTCACCTTGTTCACCAAATACCAATTACTGCCTCTGGGCACTCTAACAAAGATGAAGTAATTTAATTATTTGGGCCAGGAATATGAAAGTAAGTCAGAAAGTACTGCTATAAGATCATAGAAATGTTATTAAACAGAAGTATCAAAACGTGAAGCCATTGTTTCTTGACATATGCTCCATCTAGATCTATACACATCTGAAGGGACTTCCCCGAAGAATTCTGTGGTCTTACATTTCCAACACTTCAAAACAGCAGTGTTGGCAACACTGAGGGACTTAAATCATGTTCCTTTTCAATGTTCTTTGAGTTTGGGGAATGAAAAGAAGTCTGAAGGGTTAAGATCAGAGCTGTAGGGTAAACGGGATAAGGTTGCTTAATGAAATTCTTGTAGGACCGTCCTTGCTATCCTCGAAGAATGAGCAGGTACAATGTCATGATGGAAAAAATATCCTCTGTGCAACTTTCCTGGCCTTTTTCTCACCAATGCAGTTTTCACTTTTCCTAAAACTGCTTCATAAAAAGCCCCTATGATTGCCCAGCATCCTTCAAGAAAACCTATCAAGCTGACCTCTTTGGAAGCTGAAAAACTGAAAGCTTTAATCTTTGGAGCTGACCTCTCTGTCTTGGATGTAACTGACCCAGCAGATCCCTTTAGAAGCCACTGTTTCATGGGATTGTTTTTTGGAAGGCACCCAAATGAGACTAACACATGTTCACCATGGAGAGAATCTGTCTGCAGTCATCCACTGATCGCAGAGATGCATTTAAACATGTTTTGTTAGGAATAAACCCACACGTGTATGAACTGGAACCCTAGTAGCAACACTTGATTTGACTTACCCTAGTATTTACAGAGCTTTGTTTATCTTTCTTTGGAAATAATTAGGCTCCTCACCCTCAGAGATCTCTGAATCTTGCTGGTTTTTAACTACAGGAAATATTTGATTGTAAGACAGACCATTAAGTGAAAACTTTAAAGCCATTCATGTTTTCTAAAAGAGATCCTTAAGGACTTTAGTTAATGCACTTGGCTCCTAACCAAACAGAGGTTGAAGTCCACCAGAGGCACCTTGGAAGGAAGGTCTGGAGACATACTTCTGAGACATCAACCATAGAAACTCTATGAAGCCCAGTTCTACTCTGACACACATGGAGTCCTATGAGTTGGCATGGATTTGATAGCAACTGGCAAGGAAGAAGGTTATAAGGATTGTACAACTGTCTCTGAGGACATAAGCAAGCAATCTCTCCAACATCCCACAAGGTGCTGCTTTTAGAATACGTGAGAAGGCAAAGCATAGGACGGGCCCATCACCTGGAGCAATCAACACTGTTCCTCAAAGACAGGTGTGACTGGCCAGGTACGCACAGGCTGAACTTGTGCTTACTAGTCTGTAGTGAATAATTTCATTTTGCTTACTGGACACTGTCACTGTCAGGGACAGTACATTTGAAAAGTGGTTTTGATTCTATAGAAAACTTTTGCGAGGTTGGAGGGGAGACAGATATAAGCCATACCTAGAAGCAGAATCTTTTATTATGATGAAAAAATAAATTATTCACTACAGATTAGTAAGTAAGCACAAGTAAACTCGTGCTTTACTTGCTTAAAGACCTGTCTCTCTGCAGTGGCAGACGTGACCATAAAAGGTTTGGGAAGGAACCTCAGCAGTTACCTAATCCAGGCATCTAGTCCCATGGTCCTCCAAGCAAGGGCTCCAGATGGGCAGCATCAGCATTTACATAAAATTTATTAGAAATGCAAATTATCTAGCCTCATTTTAAACCTACTGAATTGGAAAGGATAGAGGGGGCCAGCAAGATCTGAGATCTGCACCTAACAAACCTGCCATGTGTAGATATTAAGGTACTCCAGTGGTTCTCACCCCTGCCTCCTTCACTTGAGAATCCCTTGAGGAGATTTTAAAACAAATGGGAAGCAGAGCCCTACCCAGATTGATTTAATCAGAATGTCACAGGTTTTGCTACAAAAATCCCCAGGTTATTCCAAAGGGCTGCCAGTTTGAGAACCACTGATCTTATCTTCCTCCTCTTTGCAGATGTTGTTGTTATGTGCTGTGGAGTCGGTTCTGACTCATAGCGACCCTGTATAGGGTTTCTGAGGCTGTAAATCTTTATGGGAGCAGAAAGCCTCATCTTTCTCCCACGGAACAGCTGGTGGTTTCGAACCGCCGCTTGCGGTTCACAGCCCGATTCATAACCACTACGCTAAAAGACACCTAAACTCAAGGATAACAACACTAAGACCAAAATGACCAACATCACATAACTACATCCAGCCATTCCCCATACCTTTGTCTTTAAGTCCAGTAATTTTTTCCGTAGTACTAAGTTCTGTGGAGTTCTATGAACAAGGGTTTTCGGGAGCTTTCGTCAATTAGTGCCCTTATCTGAAATGCGTCCAGAATGCGGCTGGAATATTTGTCTTAAATTTTAACAACAAAGCAAAAAGTTTTTTAAGACACTCAATGATGTCAATAGTAGAAAGCTTAATGGAATAATGAAAGGTTATTATTAAGGGGGTAGTCAGCAACCATGGTTTATCTCCAAAAGAAAGAAAATAATTTAGACAAACTGGCATCATTCCCCTGCCCTTACATGAAAATCATCCCCTTATTTTGACTTTATGGCATTTTCCAACTCTATGGATGGGAGACTTAAGCGGAACGTGGGCAGCAGGGCACAGGTTCCCTTTGAACCAAGAAAACATGGTTAATGTTCTGAGGGAGCACTTTGGGGAGAGGATAATGAAAGACAGCTGTGTTCACTTAGATATTTAAGATAACCATTGCTATGGAAGAAAGAGAAAATGGGGCAATATCATAAGTTTTTGGAAAATTACTTTACACTACTATGTAAAAAGGAATAAAAAATAATGTTCTCTCCATCCATATCCTTTTCCACCAGCTATGTGAAAAGTGAACATTCAGATGAGCTCATGTCTAGTCAGAAAGTTTTTTTTTTTTTCCAAGCATGTAACAAATGTTTATTAATTTAACTAAAACTAGGTTCACACATGACTTCATGGTGAAAAAGTGAGAATGAGCTCTCAAGAAACCACTCAGGCTGATCACTAATACTAATAGAGCAGAGAATTGACTGGCTGGCAAAAACACTGGACAGGCAAGACAGTGTTTACAAAAATAATTTAGAACCTTAAGTAAAGACTATGTACATATATAGATACGGCACTAGTCAGAAAATATAAATTGACAAATAAGAAATTGAGACCATTTTCCAAAATTGGCCAGTGTACAAGTCCTAGATTTTTTTTATATGTATTGTAAAGCCATAGTATTAAGGAATGTTTTTTTAAACATTGGTTTCAAACTAAGATAAAATCAAAATGTTACCAGTCACTAACAAGTGATTATTGCTGCATTTCAGAATTTTCTATACTAGCCTATAATTTTTGTAATGCCTCCTGTTAATCAAGGGATGGTCAATTCAATCCTCATGACCAGCACCCATGATTTCATATAGGGCCTTACAGTCTATTTTCAGAGCCTTCCTACCTAGAGACCACAAAAGGTGATGGAGGTGCTAACCCCTGGGTGTGGGAAGGTGGGTTTACCACCGACAGCTTGCTGCTGGATAAACCAGTCCGTATCCTCTGCATTACTCTTCTGCAGTTTAATGCTGCTTTGTGCTTATATGTGTGCATGTGTGTGTGTGTGTGGTCTTCCAAAAAGATGATAAACTCTGGTTAGCACACACCTTCTTACATCTCTTTGAAGTCCGTCCCTCTCCTTCCCTACATAGTTCCAGCAAAAGTTGCTAAAAAATATATTTGCATGATGAACAAAAAGCAGAAGGAGCTCTCCCTGAGAATTCAGAGAACACACACTATGGAGTGAGGTTAGTGAAATGTGCAATGGAATCTAATTTTGTTTCATTTCTTAGCTGTTTATCAAGGAAACATTTAAACATACTTGTATGTGAATAGTGTACCCCAGGTGCCAAGCATCTAATCCTGTTCCAACTACAATGCCACAGCTCCACCACTGTATTATTTTGAAGTAAATTCCAAACATCACATCATTTAGTCCATAAATATTCTGATATGTATCCCCCCAAATTCTTTAAGAGTTTTGTATGTATGCATCCATAATGGCTAAATATAAAGTTAATGTTTTATTAGTATTTTATAATATCCAGTCAGTGATCAAATTTCCAACTGTCTCATAAGTGTCCTATTTTGCTTTATAGTTTGTATTAGGACCCAAATAAGATCCACAAATGGTAATAAGGTCTTACATAATTTTTAATTAATATCTTTACTCCAAATCTTTTTTTTTTCCTTGAAATTTCTGTGTGGAAGAAACTATTCATTTGTTTTGTAGAATGGCTCACATCCCTGTTGTTGTTAAGTGCTGTTGAGTTGATTCTGACCCATAGCGATCCTGTATAGGATTTTCAAGGAGCAGCTGGTAAGCTTGACCCACTGACCTTGTAGTTCAAACGACTACATCCCTGTAGTGTAGTTTAAAAAGGAGCTCTGGTAGCATACTAGGTTATGAGTTGAGCTGCTAACCACAAGGTCAGCAGTTAGAATTTACCAGATGCTCCACAGGAGAATGACAAGGCTTTCTGCTCCTGTAAAACTTTAGTCTCAGAAATCCATAAAGGGAAACCCATATATGGGTCTCTATGAATTGAAATTGACTCCACAGTACATAACCACTGCCACCACCACCACCAGTGCAGTTTAACATGTGCCTCTCTCTCAGATAATTGATAGAGTGGTCATCGCATATATTAGGCATGATCAGATCCATTTTATTGGCTTGACCTTGGCCAACATCATAGTGGTATGCCTTCAGAAGGCATACAGTGTCTGGTTGTATCCCATTTCCATGATGAGATATAAGTCCATTAATTCATTATTGGTATGTTGTTTGGTGCTGTTGAGTCAGTTCCAACTAATAGCAACTCTATGCACAACAGAATATCACCACCTGCTCCTACATCATCCTCACAATTGTTGTTATGTTTGAACCTGTTGTTACAGCCACTGTGTTAATCCACCTCCTTGAATGTCTTCCTTTGATTTTACTGATCTTCTCTCTACCTTTTCGAGCATGATGCCCTTCTTCAGGGATGGGTCCCTCCCGATAACATGTCCAAAGTAGGTGACACAAAGTCTTGCCATCCTCACTTCTAAGGCGTACTCTCGGTTGCACTTCTTCCAAGCCAGGCTTTTCTATTCTTTTAGCAGTCCATGGTAATGTCAATATTCTTCAGCATCACCAAAATTCAAATGTATCCATTTTCCTGTCTTCCTTATTCATTGTCCAGCTTGCATAAGAGGTGCACACAGGCAAACCTTAGTCCTCAAAATGACATCTTTGGTCTTTAACACTTTAAAGAAGTCTTTTGCAGTAGATTTGCCCAATGCAATGTGTCATTTGATTTCTTGATTAATTCATTATAATTGCAAAGCACCTAAATAAAAATCCACTACTATCTAGTTGCTTGTGGCTCATAGTGACTTTATAGTAAAGTGCAGAACTGCCCCATAGGGTTTCCAAGGCTGCAAATCTTAGAAGCAGAATGCCACATTTTTTCTCCTTTGGAGCAGTTAATGGTTTTGAAACCTGGTTCTTTTGGTTAGCAGCCAAACCTTTACTTCTTCTTACTTATTTTTGTTGTTGTTGTTAAGTGCCATCGAATCAGTTCCAACTCATAATAACCCTGTATAGGGTTTCTGAGGAGTGTCTAGTGTGTTTGAACTGCCAAACTTGCAGTTAGCAGTTCAGTGCTTATCCTATAGCGTCACACCAGGACTAGCAAGATCATTTATATAAACAAACGTTCCCCTCAGTCACTGTTTGAGTATCTTGAAGCTTACAATGGAAAAGGTAAAGTAAAATGTGAGATATTTTTATTTACCAATTTTCTGAATTAGCTGCTTCACTAGTATCTTCCCAATGGTGACCAATACATTAAGACAGTATCATAACAAGTCCACCAATCAAACTTATCTGATGTGTTTCAATCTATTACCTCATCTTAAGCAGCCAGTGGAAAATCCTTCAATTTTGCTTCTGAGCTAGATTTATATTGATCAGAGTAATATTTATAGTTTCCTTGCTCTTTGGTAAGATACTCTCAGTTCATTTCAAATATTCCCTAGTATGGCAATGCGGGTTAATGCGTTGGACTGCATAGTCAGTTTGGACCTCAAGGTCAGTGGTTCAAGCTCACCAACTACTCCTCGGAAACACTATACAGGGTTGCTATGAGTTGGAACTGACTTGATAGCACTTAACAATGACAACAACAACAACAACAACTTAGAATCAGCCATTTCTCCAATGAGCCCTAGTTCCTTTTGGTACATTAAGACTACAGTCTCAGTGCTAGTAGGCTTTGTGCTAAATGGATTGATCATTGCTTTTAATCCTTTTAGCAGACAGAGCTAGAAATACAAGGCAGCTACAGAAAGTTCACAGAAAAATTCTAGTATCTCTTCATTCCATTTTCAAAGCTCTCTTGTGTTTGTGTGTGTGTGAGGGGACTTCAAAACAGAGTTCATGGAAAAACTGTAAAAATCTTCTAATTCAATTTTTCCAAGACTTATTTGAAATCCCTCATATGCTTGCTTGCTTGCTTAAGAAAAAAAAATCTATAGTTTAATTCTGCTTTGTTTGATTATAGAGGAGTTTATAACTTAACCTCCTCTACTATCTTTTTTCTCACACATACCAAGAATCTTAATTCTTAAGAATACTAGAAATGGCAGAATTAAAATCTCTCTTTTATACACATACACATCAGTCTCAGAATAGCAACACTGAAACTACCATCACCAATATGATGACTGTGTATATGATTTCATTAATAAAATTCAGCACATGCTGGTTCCTATGAAGCAGATATTAAACATATCACCGATTTCCAGCTTCTCCACTCCCCATCATCTGACATTGACCCCTCTTTCCTGTGCTCCTCCTCCTCTCCCTGTTGGGTTTGGTAATTGAATGCAATGTCTCATGGAACTCACAAACTCTAGTTACAGTTATCTGCCTGATCAGAGCTACATAGGTCAAGACTACATCTAGTCCACTTTCATTAAATAAGTTGCAGGAAGATACATGCAACATAAAAATATATGTTGTTGTTGTTAAATGCCGTGGAGTCGGTTCCGACCCATAGTGACCGTGAACAGGGTTTCCGAGGCTGTAAATCTTTACGGGAGCAGAAAGCCTCATCTTTCTCCCGCGGAACAGCTGGTAGTTTCAAACTGCTGACCTAGTGGTTCACAGCCCGATTCATAACCACTATGCTACCAGAGCTCCTTAAATATATGTAGGGGCTTCAAAACATTCATGGGCAAATGGAATGAAAAGATAACAGAATTCTTCCATGGGTTTTTAAAGGCTCCTCCCACCTACATGCGTGTGACACACACATGAGGGAGCTTTGAAAAATTCGTGGAAAATGGAATTAGAATTAAAAAATGATGGAATTTTTCCACAAACTTTCTGAAGCTCCCTCATGTGTGTGTTTGTGTATGTATTTATGTATGTTGTTGTTGTTGTTTAATTCTGCTATTTCTGATTAAATTCAGAGATACTTACTATTGGTGAATTTCTACCATTAGCACAGACATATGGAGGTGTGTGAAAAACACCAAATTTAGCACTCAGCAGAGAGGTGGTCGGGGGTGGGAGAGTAGGGAATAGGTTAGTTGGCATTGCAGAACAGAACCTCAATTATAATGGTAATATTTTTCTCTGAAATAAATATAGAAAAAGGCTATGAGTTGACAAAGTTGTCTTTACTTTGTATTATGTTTGAAATATTTGATACAACAAAAATAGTCAAATGATATGCTGATATATGATAATCTAAAAAGATTTTTCACTTTGTAATGTGTAAAAGGTACAATAAACTGTGTGTATGTAATTTTATAAATAATACAAAATTAGGGTCTAAAGGTTTTGTTGTTGTTTTTTTACCTGAAATATCTGCTTCAGAGAGAAAAGAGCCCTTCTTAAATCTCGTCCATTGGAGTTGTATAGTTTTTCTGAAATAAAAAATATAGCATATAAAATTAATTAAATTGAATCAAGGAATGGTAAAACCACAGTGATGATATGAAGGTAGTACAACTTTCGGTGTAAAGGTGACTGGTACTGATTGTGTGTCACTGAGTCAGTTCCAACGCACAGTGACCCTGTATAGAGTTTCTGAGGATGTAAATCTTTATAGGAGCAGAAAGAAGCCTCATCTTTCTCCCAAAGAGTGACTGGTAGATTTGAACTACTGACCCTGTAGTTAGCAGCCCACTATACTACCAGGGCTCCTGTAAAAGTGACTAAAGGTATCTATTCTGTTTAGGATACAGACCTTCTGGTCCTGGGCAAGGCAGATGTGAAAAGTCCAGAGTAGGTAATCTCTGGCTTGAGACTCAGACCAACTTCTATACTGTCACTGCTCACTCAGTCACATTTAACAACATGTAAATGTTACAACAACAATAACCCTTTAGGCCAGGCTTGTGAACAAGTTAACAAGTAGCTGATCTTAACATAGGACCTCTGCCCACACAGCTCCAGGGACTTCATGAGCATGCAGCAATAAGGAGCTAGCCCATGGGATGGCATTGCAAGGTGCAGAAGGTGCACAGGAGAAAGGGAGAATCCAGCTGTTTTATGTATGCAGGGTCCCAGGAGCCTGGATACTGTACCTTCCCAGAACCAATGCCTGGCCCTGACTCAGCCTGCTCAGGTGTCTAGAGTTAGGTTCCTGGTATGGGATGTCATTTCACTTCAATATCAGGGGGCGGGGAGGGCTTCAAAAAGTTCCTGGGAAACTTCCATTAATTTTTTAATTCTATTTCCTGCAAACATTTTGAAGCCTCTTAATAAATTATTCAACACATATTACTAAATACCTGCTGGGCACTACCCTAGGCATTGGAGAACTGAAGAGAATGCTGGAATTAGTAAAAGGGCAGACTAGGTTATCAGATTGCCTGAGTTCTAAATTAGAACTTGGGTTCTACAGCAATATGACCTTGGACAGAATACTTGGTCATACGGAAGAATACTTCAAGCAAAATGGGAACAGACAACAGATTTAAAGGAGATAGAAAGTTATGGTAAATCAAATTCTGATATGATGGAATGGAATGTAAAATTTCTATAGAATGCCACACCCCACTTGTCCAGGAGTGGAACAGACTTGAGTGGGAGCTTGGGTTGTAAGGATCTACAAGTGTCACCACTGTGTCACACCTGGAGACAAATCCATGTCCCTAGGGAGAACCCTTCTCTTTCCAGCTTCCATAGCTAACATCCTAGAATCTGCAAATGCTGGAGAAACAGACTTGGTTTTTGTTAGTATTACTTTCAGCACCTAACACTTGCAGCAAATAAGAATAAAGCTTTCAGATGAAAGTGTGGGGCTATGTATGAAGACGACAACCAGAGTGATCTGATTCAGGAAAGACACTGGTAGATGAGACAGCCAATCAATCCCAAGCACCTCTTTATAAAGTACTAAGGACTTTGTTAGAATGTCATCCTTAAATACTACCGGAAGACCAGCAGAATTATGCCATAAGTGAGCTCACAAATATCACAGTTACCATCTCCTTTAAACCCACAGCATGGAGTCAATTCCGACTCACAGCGACTCTACAGGCCACAGAACTGCACCATGGGGTTTCTGAGAATGTTTCACATCTTTCTTCTGTGAAGTGGCTAGTGGGTTCAAAATCACAGATCTTTCCATGAGCCAACCAATGCTTAACCCACTGTATCAGTAGGACCACCACAGTCTCCTTTAGTTAATAGTCATCTTTCATAGATTGTTAGTTATCTAATGAAGATTACGGTGAGTTGGGTTCTAGTTGTGATTTGACCCCTTAGAGTTACAGTCAAAAGAATCAGCTTTTAAAATCAAGACTACATTTTAAAAGGAAAACACTTTAGCTGAAAATGACTACTACAAGGTATGGAACCCCTCTGCAATTAAAAAAATGGCTTTTGGTCCCAGTTCCTGAGAAACAGAACACATCTGAGGCCACGAAGTGGCTGCTGAGCAGACCAAGAAGGAACACCTGGTAGGTGGATGCTGGCTAAGCCACAGGAGGCATTATGTAATCTATTATGGCCAGGTGACGAGACCAATTAATGCCTTGGAAGATGGAGGCTCAGTGGATCTTCCTGGGTAATAAATCCCAAATATTATTGATTTCTACCTCAGTTACTTTATGGTCTGACAGAATATTTTGTATGACATCAATTCTATTAACCAAAATATGGTCTATCTTGGAAAATGTGTTTTATATGCTTGAAAATGATGTGTAGTCTGCTGTCATTAGGTGAATTGTTTTAAAAATACCCATTACATCAAGATGGATGATGGTGTGCTTAAGTGTCATTGTGCCAGTTTTGACTCATAGAGGACCAGTATAGGATTTCTAGGGATCAGCTGGTATATTTGAACTGCTGCCAACCTTGCAGTAAGCAGTCCACTGTAGAAGTCCTACAGTCCCACGCCAATGGAATGTTTTGTGTATTGTGTGGGGAGCATAGTGGCTCTAGAAGATAAACACTGGACTGCAAAACACAACGACCACAGTTTGAGCCAGCCGGCCATTCCGCAGGAGAAATATGAGGCTTTCTACTCCTGCAAAGATTTACAGCCTCAGAAACCCTATGCAGGTTCATTATGAGTCAGAACTGACTTGCCAGCACTTAACAACGATGTTCTCACCAATTTTATGTCTAATTTTATGTCAATTGCTAATAGTTGTTGTTAAGTGCCACTGAGACGGTTCCAACTCATAACGACCCTGTAAGGGTTTCCAAGGAGTGACTTGTGAGTTTGAATTGCCAACCCTGTGGTTCTAAATGACCTTGTGGTCCCACCATGCCACACCAGGGGTGATGAAGTCTCCAACTCTAAAGGCAAATTAGTCTATTTCTCTTTCAGTTCTCCACCACTTTTATTTTAGAGACTTTGAAGTTCACTCACATTTGGCATTGCCATGGGTTTTGGATGAGGTGACCTTTTATCATTTTGCAATGTCTCTCTTTATACCCAGCAACATTCCATAAGTCAGAACTGACTTGATGGTAATTCACAACAACCAGGATCAAAGGCCAAATTGGTTTCTACAAGGGGATTCCATACCTCACAGCGTCACTCTCAGCTACACTGTTTTTTCTTATAAAACTCAGACTTAGATGATTATTTGAACTATAGCTATGAGTCAGAACTGACTCGATGGTACTTCACAACAACAACAATAAATAGTGGAGCGCAGTAACTCTATAGGATAAGCACTAGACTGCGAATCACAAGTCAGTGGTTCAAGGACACCATCTGCTCTGCAGGAGAAAAATAGGCTTTCTGCTCCATAAAGGTATTTTTTTAAGTTTTTGTAGTGAATTGTGTGGTAGTTCACATTGGAAAACATTGGTTTTACACTCATCATTTCATTGCAATGATTACAATCTCGTCCGTGCACATCATTCAACAGCATTTGCTTCCATTCCCTCTGTGTTTTGGGTTGTTATTTTGGGAGGGGAGGGGATGTACACAAAAGCACTCAGGAATATATAACAATTTAAACAACCAAAGGGCACATTCTGTAAGCCTGCCTCCTGGCCGCCAGCATTCAGTCTTTCTCTTCCCATGAGTCCAGCTGCTCCCTCTCTCCATGTCCTCATCTCTGCCTCCATCTCTGGTGTTGCTGCTTCTCTGGTTAAGGTCCCGCATGCTGCTTATGGTCTTCTCCACTGATGGTCTTAGGGTCCTCTTCCTGGACTGTATGATTAACTACTTCCCCTTTTTTGTTATAAAACTTCTACCTTTACAGTTTGACAGTTGCAGTTAGTCATTCCATAAAGATTTACAACCTTGGAAACTCTATAAAGCTTGCTATGAGTCAGAACCAACTTGATTACACTTAACAACAACAATAACAATAAAAGTAGTAAACATGTTTTGTTTTAAGTCTGCTTTTATGATATTAACATAGCTATTTTTGGCTGGTGCGCACATGGTATAACTTTTTCCATCCTTTTATTGTGTTCAAATTACTAGATATGATTTTATATTTAAAGTGGTTTTATTGTAGACAGCAGATGGGTGGTAGTGGTGGCTGGGTGTCTTCAAGCCAGTCCCTACTCATAGAAATCCTGTATAGGTTTTCCGAGTTTGTAAATCTTCATGGAAACGGAAAGTCTCATCTTTCTTCTGCAGAGCAGCTGGTAGACTCGTACTGCTGACCTAGCAGTTAGTAGCCCAACTCATAACCGACTATGCTGTGAGGACGCCCTTAGACAACAGAAAGTCTTAGCCAATCTGACCACCTCTGTCCCTTAGGTAATGTGCACTCTTTCTATTTGGAACCTCAGGGACATCATAGTTTACTCCTCAGTAGCACCAGAAAACCTCAGAGAGGCTCTCTGTTGCTGCCAACCCTTTGATAAAAAACAACCTTGTACAAATATTAATGTTATCTTTGTGGTGCCAAAAAGTTCTCCCCTTGTTTTTTTCTGGCAAATGCCTTTTAATTAAATCATCATTTCTATCAAGAGTATTTCCATTCCTATTGTCCTTTATTACTGAGTCCAAACAAAGCTAGATAATAAAACAGTACTTTTCCTAGATAATAGTTCTTTCACTTAAATGCAAAAGAATTATCACTGTATCTTCAGAGGGAGATTGAGCCTACAGATGTAGAGCATGTGTGGTGGGCCTCAGATCCTCCCATTATACCTGCAGACTCTCCTCCTGAGTCTCAAGGGAGGTACTCTTAGGTGCATCCAACAGTCATTGGAAAAGAAAGTAAAGACTCCATACGATACCAGGAGGGGCCTGGAGCGCACCCTAAACCAGCAACAGGGCAACTCCAGAGCTTCATCCATGAGGCATGCTAACTTCTCCCATGAATTTACAGATGCTCCCCACTTTCCTCCTTATCACCTTGGTTGGGAAAACATTCCCAGGAGAGTGAGGGAGCCCCTAATAGGGACAAATATAAGGTATAACTATAAGTGATGAGTA